GTTGCAGTTTGTTCCTTGCATATTCATTCAGTGCATTCATTGGATAGAGCTCAACGCGTGTCACAGGCCTTTTGGCAATCTACTCGCCCCTTTGTCTCTCTCACTCGCATATGCCCAAGGAAAGGCAATGGCAGTGCGATGTATTCCTGCATTCCTGTTGGTCACCGGTGCAATGCAGTTTCAGGCTCGCACTTTTCTGTGTGGCCCGTTTGGATCGGCTTCTGCGGTGCAGGCAATTCATCTTTGAGGAGAGCCATGAAAAGCCCCGCTGGATTCTCCTCGGCCTTCTGGTCGTCATGGTGATCGGGATGCTGATTGGCCTCCTGCTTCCCGCTCGCAGCGGCGAAAGACGTGGCCTTGGGGGGGGGGGGGGCACATCTCTTGACACCAGGGGATAGTGCTTGCTGGGCAGGGCTTTGGAAACTGCGAGAGTGGGTCAGCGTGAGATTGTGTCTGTGTTTGTGCTTGTGTCTGTCTGTCTGTCTGTCTGTCTGTCTGTCTGTCTGTCTGTCTGTCTGTCTCTGTCTGTCTGTCTGTCTGTCTGTCTGTCTGTCTGTCTGTCTGTCTGTCTGTCTGTCTGTCTGTCTGTCTGTCTGTCTGTCTGTCTGTCTGTCTGTCTGTCTGTCTGTCTGTCTGTCTGTCTGTCTGTCTGTCTGTCTGTCTGTCTGTCTGTCTGTCTCTGTCTGTCTGTCTGTCTGTCTGTCTGTCTGTCTGTCTGTCTGTCTGTCTGTCTGTCTGTCTGTCTGTCTGTCTGTCTGTCTGTCTGTCTGTCTGTCTGTCTGTCTGTCTGTCTGTCTGTCTGTCTGTCTGTCTGTCTGTCTGTCTGTCTGTCTGTCTGTCTGTCTCTGTCTGTCTGTCTGTCTGTCTGTCTGTCTGTCTGTCTGTCTCTGTCTGTCTGTCTGTCTGTCTGTCTGTCTGTCTGTCTGTCTGTCTGTCTGTCTGTCTGTCTGTCTGTCTGTCTGTCTGTCTGTCTGTCTGTCTGTCTGTCTGTCTGTCTGTCTGTCTGTCTGTCTGTCTGTCTGTCTGTCTGTCTGTCTGTCTGTCTGTCTGTCTGTCTGTCTGTCTGTCTGTCTGTCTGTCTGTCTGTCTGTCTGTCTGTCTGTCTGTCTGTCTGTCTGTCTGTCTGTCTGTCTGTCTGTCTGTCTGTCTGTCTGTCTGTCTGTCTGTCTGTCTGTCTGTCTGTCTGTCTGTCTGTCTGTCTGTCTGTCTGTCTGTCTGTCTGTCTGTCTGTCTGTCTGTCTGTCTGTCTGTCTGTCTGTCTGTCTGTCTGTCTGTCTGTCTGTCTGTCTGTCTGTCTGTCTGTCTGTCTGTCTGTCTGTCTGTCTGTCTGTCTGTCTGTCTGTCTGTCTGTCTGTCTGTCTGTCTGTCTGTCTGTCTGTCTGTCTGTCTGTCTGTCTGTCTGTCTGTCTGTCTGTCTGTCTGTCTGTCTGTCTGTCTGTCTGTGTCTGTCTGTCTGTCTGTCTGTCTGTCTGTCTGTCTGTCTGTCTGTCTGTCTGTCTGTCTGTCTGTCTGTCTGTCTGTCTGTCTGTCTGTCTGTCTGTCTGTCTGTCTGTCTGTCTGTCTGTCTGTCTGTCTGTCTGTCTGTCTGTCTGTCTGTCTGTCTGTCTGTCTGTCTGTCTGTCTGTCTGTCTGTCTGTCTGTCTGTCTGTCTGTCTGTCTGTCTGTCTGTCTGTCTGTCTGTCTGTCTGTCTGTCTGTCTGTCTGTCTGTCTGTCTGTCTGTCTGTCTGTCTGTCTGTCTGTCTGTCTGTCTGTCTGTCTGTCTGTCTGTCTGTCTGTCTGTCTGTCTGTCTGTCTGTCTGTCTGTCTGTCTGTCTGTCTGTCTGTCTGTCTGTCTGTCTGTGTCTGTCTGTCTGTCTGTCTGTCTGTCTGTCTGTCTGTCTGTCTGTCTGTCTGTCTGTCTGTCTGTCTGTCTGTCTGTCTGTCTGTCTGTCTGTCTGTCTGTCTGTCTGTCTGTCTGTCTGTCTGTCTGTCTGTCTGTCTGTCTGTCTGTCTGTCTGTCTGTCTGTCTGTCTGTCTGTCTGTCTGTCTGTCTGTCTGTCTGTCTGTCTGTCTGTCTGTCTGTCTGTCTGTCTGTCTGTCTGTCTGTCTGTCTGTCTGTCTGTCTGTCTGTCTGTCTGTCTGTCTGTCTGTCTGTCTGTCTGTCTGTCTGTCTGTCTGTCTGTCTGTCTGTCTGTCTGTCTGTCTGTCTGTCTCTCTCTCTCTCTCTCTCTCTGTCTCTGTGAGCGTGGGTGTGAGTGACTTTGCCTATGTTTTTGGGAAGGCTTCGTTTGCGGGTTTGAGCCCTTCTCATTTCGATTTTGGCCACGGTGCTGCTCCAATGCATCCGTCGATTTTTGAGTTGAGATCGCTTCTCGGCTTCTCATTTTGGTGGCTCGTATGGCGTCAGGGCTAGGGCTAGGTAAGATTATTCCATGGCTTGGCTGCCTGTTTGTAAGGTGCTGCTGCAACATGCCAGCCTTGGAGGGGAACATGCTGATAGGCTTTGTGGGCAAATGGGAGTCAGAAAGCCAGGACGTGCGAGATGGTTTGTTTCAAACATGAGCCCTCTGGAAGTGTGCCTCTTGACCCTCTGGACTCGCATCCTTGTTTTGGTATGCCTGGCCTTTGCGCAAGGGGGTCCGGGCCACTGACAGGTTTAGCAACTCGACTCAAGCTTCTTTCAACCCAAAGGATTTGCCCGGGTTGAGTCCTGGAGTCCTGGAGTCCCAAAGCCTTGGACTAGGGAGCACTGGGCGATGGGCCGGCATTCCGTGTTCGAGCTGGCCTTGGTTTAAGTTTGAGGCTGGGCCTGGTCATCACCTTTGCCGGGATCTTCATTTTTGAGATCATCCTGTTGGTGCTGGCCGTGTTCATCCTCTACGATGCCTACGACTTGACCTTTCTGCAGCTTGGCGATTGCAGATGTCGCGTGGGCATCTCTTGTCGGGTTCGGCGGTATGGGCCCCAAGGGTTCTCAAAGCAACTGCCCTGAGGCTAGCAAGTAGGAGGCCAGCCCATGTCAACATCGCATCCACTCGAAACCCAGCCTAGGCCCACCCTAAACCCTTGCAGAAACACCACCTTTGGGCCAGGAAGAAGTCTGGGGCGGCAGACAAGACGGGCTTCGCCTTCATGGTGATGTTTTGCACCGGCCTGCTGATCCTCTTCATGGCTGCCACTCGCTCGGTTCAGCTCCCTTGGCCATGCCCGGGTGGGGTGGGGTGTTCAGGGGGTTGGGGGGGGGGCTCCTTAGATTTAAGGGGGAGCCAAGGCCCATGTGAATAGCAGCTTGTTTGGAGGACACTTCTGTTTTTGGCCAGGAACGCGGATGCAAGCTACCGCAAGGGCTTAAATTGGTGCGTGAACTGTCGCTCTTTGCCATCTTGGGCTTAGCATGTTGGGGAGGGTAGCTGCAAAGAAAGTTCACCAAGCCACGCCCTGGGCAGTAAAGGCGAAGAGGGCTATCCCTGTGCCCGGACATGCCTTGTTGGCTTTTAAAGACGGGCGGATGATCACGAAACAACGGGCAAGCTTTGCTAATTGGAGATGTTTCAATCACCAAGCAAGATGCGTGTGTCCCTGTCCCTAAAGTGGCTGTTTGGTTGAAGGCCAGTACCGGCTGTCCGGCTGAGTGGGGGCCATTTCGGCCCCGCCAAGTGGCGACGAACATGAGCGATGAACATTTTTT